CGTCCTAGCAGTAGACGGCAATGCAGCACATGCTTTCAGGTCGCATTGTTTATGATCCTTGGTCTCTCTTCTTGTCACTGCTGCTGACAGAACTGCATTGCAATCTGTCCTACGCGAGCCTCTGTGAAGAAATCATTTACTAAGTGCGCCGGTTGGCCATGCGAACTAAACTGGGACAGAAGGAATATTTGGGGATAGGGGAAAAGTCGCAGTCAGAGGAAATAACCACAGTCGAAAACTACTAAATGGCAAGATAAGCAACGTGTAAAGGGGCAGAAATGGGATAGTGACTGCGAAGAACGTAGCTGTGAGGCGGATAAATTACTCATGTTTTTGTTTTTACCACTAAAGGCATAAAGAGCAGCAGTAAGGGTATATGTCTTCGTTGTAGTTGTAATAATAGTTGTAAGTACATGTCGTAATCGTATTAATTATTACTAGCAGAAATAGCGTAAGCAGTGCTGATGACAACACTATGAATTAGTGGTAGTTTTAGTCTTAATTACTTATATAATTAATAAGAGTAGTAGTTACATAATTATTATTAGAAATATCAGGACATGTGAGTCGGAGAATACGCATTTTTACTAGTAGTATTGCTAATTAAGTCACCCTATAAATGATACCAAGGAGGAAAGAAGACCGAGGGAAGAGCAACTGCGAACGAGAAGAAACATTTCAACTTCTTAATCTGGCCGCTGAAAATTAACTTTTATCTGTTCTCCGTCAGAAATCAACTAAGTATGTAAGTGGTATTTGCTGACGAGGCCAACGTCTTTGTCAGCTAAAACGAGGAAAATAGATCGTACGTCTGCTGAACGTACTCGGAAGAACCTTCGTCACCGTCTGAATGAACGCGCGGTCCACTGACTTCTGAATGGATATCCCAGTTGGGTCTGCTTGTGAAGTTTGTATCATTTGCCTATGCAAACTTTGGACCCAGTGCAGCTTAGGTTAGGGTGTTAACCGATCATCTAAATTTCGTTCACTTTTTCTCTGCAACCGCACTAGGCGAGATCAGCAGGATGGGTTACACCTCCGCAATTCCAATGTAAATCTCACAATGTCTACAGTTGAGTGCAACGCCTGAGACACTTATTTTCACATACCTACGTGTCCATGATGGTAAAATGTTAAACTTATGTACGCGAAATAGATAAGCGCTTTAGGTTTAACCGGTCCACCCGCGAAAAAATCGAATCGCTTCAAACGATTGGTTTTAAATTATATGTTAACCTTGAAACAGGCATGTGAATGTCACGCCTCCATTCATCTTCGAATATGGGAAATTACTGAAGTAGGTCTTTAATGTCGATTGCAGTCGAACGTAACAGCCACCTATTTCTACTATTAGTAAAAGAAATAGTAGGAGCATTAATAATGGTAAAAGAAGTAGTGTTTGTAGTAGTAATAATAAGCGAACTGTCCAAGGTAATCGTGTAAGTATAGGAGATACAGTAGTCGCTGGCTATTAAGCCCACCTCGGGCCCAGATCAAATTGGGCTTAATAAGCGGCGG